CCTGCTGAAGAGGATAAGTTGGTGTTCTTCCCAACCACTAGGACTCAGAAGCGATACCCTATCATTGTGCAGCGTAGGAATCCTGATCGGCAATGTAAAGAGTAAGATCCAAAAAAACACATAAGAAGAAGAGAAGATATGGAAGGCAGGGAATATGTAGCAAAGTTGTAATCTTGTTGATCTTTGTGATCTTATTGAAATAAAAACCTAAAATCTCTGTTATTATATGTAATTAATTAATTGATTTAATTCATGGGTTTTGACATTTGAGCTCTTCTTTAAAGCCGGTTATCATCCATTCGTCCGTACACGCACAAAGCATGCAACATGTATCAAACGACGAACCAACCACTTTCTGACGTGAAACTTGAATGTGCATGGCATGCGTAAGCCTGCTTTATCAAAAGTGTTAAAAGAGAGTGACGGCAAATTTAATCAAAAGAAATGGCTTCTCATGGCCTTAAACCAACCACTTTCTGACGTGAAACTTGAATGTGCATGGCATGCGTAAGCCTGCTTTATCAAAAGTGTTCAAAGAGAGTGACGGCAAATTTAATCAAAAGAAATGGCTTCTCATGGCCTTCCTCGAGCCCCTCAAAATCCCACTTTCGTTTTTCCATTTTTCTTTTTATAAGGGTCTTTTTTTTTTAGGAAAAATTGTATTCCTTTTCATAATGCTTGTAATATGTGCTTTCAAGTCCTAGCTTAAGCGTAAGAAATCGCCTATAATAGAGAAATAAGGCATGAATCTCGTTACTTTGGCGCGGTATAAATAATTCCTTGCACATGAAATCCCATCATATCCGATAATGTACCAAGACATTAACAATAACATGTAGATGTAGGTGACTAAATATATCTCAGCAAAAACGATTTTTTTACAAAGATCTCACACATTTGGGCATAGGATCTAATAATGAGATGACAAAGTAGACTCGGTATTTGGTCGCGACAGCTTCATCTTTGGAAGAGATTTAAATATCTTTTGTACTGCCATGTTTAATCTTCAATCTTGCTAACAACAAGCGTGAACCGCCAAAGCCAATGAAGAGATTTTTCACGCCACAAAACTCAAAACCGGTACATGAGCTGCGTACTTAAATCACATATCTTAAACAGGAGTAGCCAGTAGGTATCACCTGCTGCTTTCCCAGCTCTTCAACGCGGATTCAACAAGCTTTACCTTTTTCGAGTTCTCACTGCTAACGAGTGAGAGCCTCTCGAGCGAGGATTTCAGTTGGGAGATTTGAGAATCTTGGGCGTGATTCTTCCTCGTTGAAATTAGTTTTTGTTGGTTTGATGCATTGCCATTTGGAGATTGTGTGTGCCTTCTCAACCTTGCAGATAAAGCAGATATTGAAGAACGCAAAGCACCAAGCTCGACTCCACTAAAATGGTCTGCGCGTAAAAAGGTATGTTAATTCCTTAAGAAAATATTAAGTACCAGTTTGCTCACAGTTAAAGACGATCGGGAATGAAAACCGAACCATAAAAAATTCAAATCAAATAGGATCAACCAAACTAAGAGACTTTGCAAAGAAAAACAACTACCAAGCTCAGACTTGAATTGTCGCTCAGCTTTGGAGAGAGGTTTCTTATGGGCCCCTGGTAAATTCCGCAAGCGTTTCAAGCGCTCTTCTAGGAAACTCTGCTGCTGAATTGCGTGAGCTATTCTATCCTCCAAATTCGACTGCTTCTCCTCAACTTTCAAAATTTTCTCTTGTGCCTCACCTAAACGAGAATGCTGGTCGTTAATAATTCTCTTCAAGTGAGGCCCATGATGCTTGAGCTCAAAGTACACCTAAAAAATTGGAAGACAATGGATTATCCAATGTTGTAAAAGAACATGTCCAAGACCGTACACCATGGAAAATTTTACGGCTCACTACCGATATCAAACTATTAAAAGGTCATGTCAATGTCGCCCTTAAAACTAAAGTTCCTGTATTTTCACACCATGGTATTTAAAGTACCTTATGTGCATATTCCACATAATTTTCATGGAAAAGCTTGAAGTATTGATGAAGTGTCGAGCGACCTTCAATAGAATCAGCAGCAACAGAACGAAGATTCGATGAAGTCTGAGGTATAAGAACGACCTTAGGTCCACTTAGGAGTTCTTTGCTTATGATAATATCTGGCATCTCTCTCTCTTTTAATTCTTGAGACTGAGAACTCTTGTTCTCCATATCGATGCTACTCGGTAGCAATAGGTTCCATGTTTTCATCTCAAGAACAAAACACTCACACGGAATTGTGACTCCCACAATCCATGAATACCCAAATGAATCAGATAGTGACACAAAGCCATAAAGTGGAGATGGTGAGGATGCTTCTCCCTGGCATGTACTCAGAACAGGATGAACAGATGGAGTCCTCCCAGCCTCATTTTTGCCACTAATCTGACTCGTAAATGGGAGAAAATGTAACACTACTGAATCTATTCCTCCATCATGAAGGGAATATATTCTTTCTGGCATAAGGGGATCGACAAACATCGTGATAAAAGAACCACCTTCTGCTTTCTTTGGAAGAGCCAGATCCACGGTGGCTAGCCTCAGTAGCGGGGGAGGGTGCCCCAGCCAAACAGTATTTTCAAGTGGTTGATCAAGCTTGGCAATGGAACGATTGCCTGGAATTAACTCACAAATCATAGCCAGACCACAGATGTGGTCTTCGGAATCCACACGGACACGAGGTGGGCTATTAACATTCCAAACTGGCTGGATTTCGTCAGCTAGGGCATCTATTTGCAATTGTCCACCACTCCAGGCAGTCACCAAAATTGAGTCCTTGCTGACTATGTTGTATAGAAAACTAACTGCACGACCTTCACATTCTGCACCACGAATGGCTAAATCCTCATTATCCTCATGGGACACTTTTCTTAAAGACCCCTAGAAAATCAGAAATAAAATGCTTTAGTGGCATCTCAAAGAATTACTAACTGATAACCTCAGATGCAATCATAAAGAAAAGTTTTAACTTAATTAGGTCAAGTTGAATTAATAATATTACCCAATCAAAGTCCATCTGGGGGGTATAATATACGTCCACATACAAACTCAAATACATATATACCACTAGTGTTATTATGTCCTTTCCAAAATAGTCAACTTGCATACTTTAAAGTTCTACAGATTACAGAATGTAACAACTACAACGTGCATGTAGATAGGATAAGACAATATATTTCCAAAGAGAGAGAGGGAGAGGAGAGGACAATATGTGTACCTGCAAAGAAAGTGATGCATCAAATAAAGCGTAAGGACGAGCTCTTATTGCAGATAGGTCTATCCCTTCTGATGCTTGGTGCGTTAAATCTGGAAATGTTGCTTCCAACCAAGAAATTGCCAAATTAGAATTACTAACTGCCGATGAATTGGATGATTTCTGGCCAAATGTATGGGCGTCGTTATGTATCTCTATTATAGACTCCCATTTATGGACACTGTTGCAAGATGAGATAAGCACGTCAGCATACAATATAAAGAGCAAGATAGCTTTCAAATAGGTATTTAGTCTAAATTTGCTAAACACGTCATTATGTTAGAGCCTTGTAAATGCATATCCGCAGAGATGCAGGAAGGAAATATTAATTAGCAAACTGTTAGATCCCTACTGAAGCAGGTTTACACTAGGAGGGGCAAAACAGGTAGAAAACACAGAGTTAGGGGCCTAAGGGAAAATATTGAAAGTAGCTAGGATGGGCTGACGTGGCAAGGGGGCTAATTTGGGAGTAATTTGAATGGGGGAAGGGGAGTAGGTTTAGGCAGTGAGTATTTTCATCTTCTAAGTGTTGGGTGTGTTGCCGGAACGGCTGGGAGTGCCGGAGAACTCGAAATCTCCTATCTATCTTTTATATTTCAATGTAATTTGGTATTCTTGACTGATTGGATTAATAATATTCCCTCCGATTACTCTCATTTTCTTATTGTTTCTGGTGTGTGAGTGTGGTATTGGTATTTGGCTGATTTTCTGAGTTAGATTCCTAACAATTTGGTATCAGAGCTCCGATCCATGGCACCTAAACCAGCGGATCCGGAGAGGGTGACTACGGTGGAAAAGGGATTGGCGGTGGTCCAGGAGGCGGTCCACACGGTGGTGACTAAGAACCTTCTGCAGATCCGTGAAGAAGTGGCTGGGCTTCGTGGTGAACTGGGGGAGGTTCGGACTTAGATGGAAGACGTGCAGGCGGCGCTGCAGAGGATGGAGGCACTGCTGGCGGCGCGGCCGATGGCCGGGGAGGCCGAGTTGGGTCGTGACGGCGAACGACAAGATGGGGAGAGGCGAGATCGCGCGCCTCGGGGCGAGGAGAGCCCAGATCGCGACGACCCAGGCGGAGTGGAGGTACCAAATCGGGCGGATCTTCGCCGGGAAGCGCCGAATCGCGAAGATCGAGGCCGCGAGAGGGATTACCGGCGCCGGAGAGACATGGGTCTTCTAGAAGATCGCAACTACCGGCGAGATCTAGGGCTCGGAGGTTTGGGTCAACGGCGGGGAGAGCAGATCGATGGCGGGCTGAGGGCGGAAAGTGGCCAGGGCTCGCTGGAAAGGGCGGCGGAGCTGGGACGGCGACGGGAACCAGCGTGGGAGCCGGAGTTTGAGCAGGTGAGGCCTATTCCGGGTCGGGGACGTCATGGGTATCCCCAGAATAGGGAACCCAACCCAGATCCAGATCTGATTGGGGTCCGAAGAGGTTGGGATCCGGGGCTGGCCCGTGGGGAATGAAGGTGGGAGAACCGGCGGGAGTTCCGCCAAGAGACCTCAGAAAACCACCGGGGAAGGGGAGAATTTCGGGGGAGAAGGATCGAAATGCCAAGCTTCGCCGGCGAGGATCCCTATGGGTGGTTGTTTAGGGCGGAGCAGTATTTTGATATGTGTGAGATTCCGGAGCGAGACAAGGTGTCGGCTGCCTCAATGTGCATGGAGGGGTGGGCCTTGAATTGGTTTCGGTGGACGGATTCGCAAGATCCGTTTGTGGGATGGAGGGAGTTGAAGGGAGCAATTTTGAAACAGTTTAATAGAGCCAAAGAGGGCGATCCGATGGAGAGATTGATGGCGTTGAGGCAAGTGGGATCGGTAGCGGACTATTTTGACCGTTTTGAATTGCTTTCGGCTCCGGTGAGAGGAATGCCAAATGCATTTTACAAGGGATCTTCAATGGACTCTGAGAGGATGTTAGAGCGGAGGTGAAGATGCATAAACCGGCTACTCTCCAAGAGGTGATGGAGATGGCACAACAAATCGAGGATCGAAACGAGGCGGTGGAGAGAATGGGGCGGTGGAAGAGTGGACGGGTTGGAGGATTGGGAAGGTCCTACTCGTTCAATGACGGTACCACCAGCCAGCCTTCGTTTTCGGGGAGCTCCCTTTGATCCAACACCGGCCGGGAAGGGGGGGATGTTGGAAGGGGACGAGCTTCCCTGTCGGGGGCTTCTAGTCCGTCGGGTGGTGGTGCAGGGGGATACCGCCGGATGTCGGAGGAGGAGATGCAACAACGATGTGCCCATGGGCTTTGCTTTAAATGCGATGAGAAGTTTAGCCCCGGACACCATTGCAAGAACAAGCAACTCCAAATTCTGTTGGTGACCGAAGATGATTCAGAAATAGAAGGGGAGGTCAAGGAGGAGGAGGGCTCCGATGAAGACTCAGCGATAGAGAAGGTAGATATCTCGCTCAACTCTCTAATGGGAGTAAACTCTGCTAAAACCATGAAAGTCAAAGGATGGATTGGTTCGCGGGAGGTGGTAGTGTTGGTGGATAGTGGAGCTTCTCACAGTTTTGTATCAAAATTGGTGGTCCAAGAGTTGGGCCTGCCTTGTGATTCCTCGGTTAGGTGTGGTGTGCAAGTGGGGAACGGAGCGTGTATCAAACAACAAGGTGTTTTCCGGGGAGTAGAGTTGATGATTCAAGGTTACAAGGTGGTGGAGGATATTTTCCCATTTGAGTTAGGAAGTGCCGATGTGGTGTTAGGAGTGACGTGGTTGCATAGATTGGGAAAGGTGAGAGCGGATTGGTCCCGATTCACGATGAAGTTTAAGGAGGGGAAATAGTGGGTGAGTTGGTCAGGAGACCCCTCTTTATGCTACATGCCCGCAAGCTTACTGATAACTCGATGAAATAGAGTTATTTAGCATACTTTTAAGCTTAGTAGTTGCTTATTTTCTCAAGGTAAAATGCCTTAGTGTTAATATTTCGTATAACATTAGTTAGTTTTTGTTTAGTTGATAAAAGGTTGATATTTGTGCAACAATCTCGTCAAATCATGGATTTAGTCCTCATATTCAATGAAAGTGTGTTGACTCTGGGATATAGTGCAGGAAGTCCAAGGGCAGTGTTGGTGAAAGCATTTTGAAAGAAAAGCACGGTAAAGGAAGTGAAAACAGAAATGCACCCGATGCTATAGCAACGCTGCAGCAAAGTTGCAACAAAGTAGATATAGCCAAAATGTGCAAGTTGGCGCAATTTTCTTTACAGCTGGTAGTGGTCCAATTGCTGACGTCGCCGAGACAGGACAGCTGTAAGAGCACTTAAGGGGGGACCATCAGTTTTGGCTCTCAGAAGGACACATGTAATTAGGGCACCTCACCCTGCCTTAGTATATAAGAGAAAGAAGGGTGTTGTACGAAGGAGCCAGAGACAGAGAGGGAGGCGCACAGAATTCCTTGTACGAGCTGAGAAGAGAGAAAAAGGGGAGTATAGGAGGAATTTGGGCGCTGATTTCTAGAGTTGAATGGGGAGTACAGCACGGCTGACACAAGGAAGCAAGGATACACACTTGCTTAGCTCAGATTTTAGCTTCGCCATTTTTCTTCCTGCTATATGTATTTTCTCTTTGTGAACAAATGGATATGGTTATTGATATTAATTCTGATTTCTTTGAACTAAACATGAGCTAAATTCTTAGCTAGGATTATTGATGAAACCAAAGTTGCAATGAAGATCTATTTGCTATTTTAATTGTTTGTGTAATTTTCATCTTGTTTATTCAAGTGTACTTGTTGTCTAATTTTTATTAAATGACAGGCCATCACTTATTGGAAAACATAAACTGAAATTAATTCTGGAAATGTTAGTTTTAGTTAGATTTATCTTGGATAATATAAGGGAATAGTATAAGAATATAATATTGTCTTGTACAACCCATTAAAATTGGTGTTTAACTTCGAGCCCGTTTGGTTCATGGATTAGAACCATGAGATTAGAACCATTTTTAATTTACATGTGTTTTTTGTGAGAGAAAATACTGTAGCGAACCATGAACCATGATTCGAATCAGAGAATGAATCCTCCAACCAAACGGGCTCTTCAGGTTTTGCAAACTAAAATGCATAGGAATATGTTGGTTTTGGTTTAAGGAACTATAAGCATAGATCTGTCGAAAGAGGAATATGCAGAATTTTAGGTTGACTCGATGAACTTTGCTACAGCAATCCTATAGCAAAACGTGGTCAGAGTTGCAACCGAGGAGAAATCAGTAATCCTAACCCTTACCCATCATTGATTCACAGCTTGTAGCTTAGAACTTGTTAAGTCTTACCTTTTAGCACAACTGGTTTACATTTTAATCACACCCGTTTACCTTACTCATCCATTTTACTTAATCCACATCAATTTGGTACTCGATTCACTCTCGATAATTTTAGCACAACTGGTTTTTGTAATCAATTTCTTATTAACTCAATCTCTGTGGAGACGATACTCTTACTCACTAATGTATTACTTGTTCGATTACGTACACTTGCGTAGAGTCATTTTTATGCATAGGATTTTTGGCGAACACTTACGTTCGATGGCTCGGTCTCTCGGGCTTCACCAAGTGGAAGTATTGCTAGAAGTTTGTGAGGTAGTGGGAGGTGGCAAGGAAGGAGCTGCCGAAGCAATTTCCAAGGAGCTACATGGAGTGTTGGCGCTGTTCAAGGGAGTTTTTGAGGAGGTTAAGGGGCTGCCCCTAAGAGAGTTCGGGATCACCGTGTCGTATTGAAGGATGGGGCGGACCCTCCCAACATCCGACCCTATTGCTATCCACATTTTCAAAAGGGGGAGATTGAGCGATTGGTGACGGATATGTTGACTTCGGGGATAATTTGGCCTAGTTGTAGCCCTTATTCGAGTCCGATGCTCTTGGTGAAAAAAGACGGTAGTTGGCGTTTTTGCGTGGATTATCAGGCCTTGAACCAAGTAATGGTCCCGGATAAGTTCCCTATTCCGGTGATCGACGAGCTCCTTGATGAGCTCCATGGAGCACAAGTATTCTCGAAGTTGGATTTGAGGGCGGGATACCATCAAATTCGGGTCCTCAAGGGTGATGTGGAGAAGACGGCCTTTCGGACACACGAGGGCCACTATGAGTTCTTAGTGATGCCATTCGGCCTCACCAATGCCACGGCGACATTCCAAGCATTAATGAACTCGGTATTTCGACCATACCTTCGCCGATTCGTCCTTGTGTTCTTCGATGATATTTTGGTGTATAGCAAAAGCTTGGAGGAGCATAGGGAGCATTTGACTAGGGTGTTGGAGATTTTGGAAAGAGAAAAGCTATATGCTAATCAAGGGTAGAGTATCTCGGCCACATAATTTCAGGAGAGGGAGTGGCGGTGGACCCCTCCAAAGTCACGGCCATTTCTACTTGGCCAACACCTCGGAATGTGCGTGATGTGCGCGGGTTTTTGGGCCTCACCAGGTATTATCGGCATTTTGTGAGGGGGTATGGAGAGATAGCTCGTCCTCTTACTAATTTGCTAAAGAAAGGAGGCTTCGAATGGGGAGAAGCGGCAGCGCAAGCCTTTGTGGTCCTTAAGGAGGCTATGACTACCCTTCCGGTATTGGCTATGCCCGATTTCACCAAGCCTTTTGTAGTGGAAACGGACGCGTCGGGGGTTGGTCTTGGGGCAGTGCTCATGCAATAAGGCAAACCAATCGCTTTCTTTACTAAGGCGCTCGCCGAGGCAAGCCGGGTGAAATCGGTTGATGAGCGGGAGTTGATGGCGGTAGTGTTTGCCATCCAAAAGTGGCGCCATTACTTGTTGGGATGCCACTTTGTGGTTCGTTCCAACCAACAAAGCCTTCAATTCCTCATGGATCAAAGGATGCTTCCACCGGAACAATTACGTTGGGTTACGAAGCTTTTGGGCTATGACTTTGAGGTCCAATTTAAACTAGGGGCAGCCAATAGGGCGGCGGATGCACTATCAAGGAGGGGAGAGGAGCGAACCTTGGACCTAGCGGCCATTTCCGTGCCCCATTTGGTGGATTTGGCGGATGTGAAGCGGGGGCAGCGGGCGGATGAGTGGTGCTCGGGTGATCGCCAAGTTGCAAGACGGGAAATGGTGCGAGAAGGGTTTCGTTTGAAGGAAGGGTTGTTGCTCTACAAGGAAAGGGTAGTGTTGCCAAAAGCATCCCCTTATATCCCTCGTTTACTGCATGAGTTCCATGATTCGGTGATCGGCAACCATTCAGGGTATTTCTGCACTTACAAACAGCTGGCAAGTAACCTCTTTTGGCCGGGAATGAAGGAGGAGATTCACAATTATGTGGCCCGATGTGTGACGTGCCAAAGTGCCAAGAGTGAAGCGTTGTCCCCCGTGGGCCTCGTGCAACCTCTTCCGCTCCCAAACCAAATTTGGGAGGACATCTCGATGGACTTCATCGGCGGGCTGCCTAAGTCGGAGGGCCGGGATACTATTTTCGTAGTAGTTGATAGATTATCCAAGTATGCCCATTTATGTGCCCTCACACATCCGTTTTCAGCGAAATCGGTGGCCGAATTGTTCGTCCGAGAGATTGTGCAACTTCCTGGGGTTCCTCGATTGATTGTTAGTGACCGTGACCCCATATTCATGAGTACATTTTGGCGGGAGCTATTCAAGCTCCAAGGGACCAAGCTGCACACTAGCTCCGCCTATCATCCTGAATCCGATGGCCAGACTGACGTGGTGAACCGTTGTCTGGAGACTTATTAGAGGTGCTTTGCTGGCGCGAAACCGAAATTGTGGCTGAAGTTCCTTCCGTGGGCGGAGTATTGGTTCAATACCACATACAATGCTTCTACTAAGTATACCACTTTTCGCGTTGTCTATGGCCGGGACCCCCTGGTGTTATACTGGTTCCAAGATACTCCTTCCTTGGATGTTGAAGTCGACAGGCAGATGCAGCTTCGTAACTCCATGTTGGATGAGCTCAAGGAGCAATTGGAGATGGCACAGCAAACCATGAAAAAGTTTGCCGATGCTCACCGCCGCGATGTGCACTTCGCGCCGAGCGACCTTGTTCTTCTCAAGCTTAGGCCCTACCGGCTGAAATCCTTGGCCAAGAAGTTCAATGAGAAGTTGGCACCTCGTTACTATGGTCCCTTTGAGGTCACTGAGAAGATTCGCAACGTTGCTTACCGTCTTTCGCTTCCAAAGGTTGCTCGCATACACCCGGTGTTCTATGTTTCCCAACTCAAAGCCTTCAAGGGAGACACCCCAGCTGCCCACCCCTTGCCGCCGCATCTTTCAGAGGAGCTCGAGCTTCTGGTCCGCCCCGCGGCCATCTTACGCGCACGACAAGCTCGAGAGGGAGAGCCACATGACTTGGACTTGCTCGTCTAATGGGAAGGGGGGGGGGGGGGGGGGGGGGGGGTACTGTTAGACCCCTACTGAAGCATGTTTACACTAGGAGGGGCAAAACGGGTAGAAAACACAGAGTTAGGGGCCTAAGGGAAAATATTGAAAGTGGCTAGGATGGGCTGACGTGGGGGCAAATCTAGGAGTAATTTGAATGGGGGAAAGGGAATAGGTTTAGGCAGTGAGTATTTTCATCTTCTGAGTGTTGGGTGTGTTGCCGGAACAGCTGGGAGTGCCGAAGAGCTCGAAATCTCCGATCTATCTTTTATATTTCAGTGTAATTTGGTGTTCTTGACTGATTGGATTAAAAATATTCCCTCCGATTACTCTCATTTTCTTACTGTTTCTGGTGTGTGTGAGTGTGGTATTGGTGTCTGGCTGAATTTCTGAGTTAGGTTCCTAACACAAACACAGAATTTTAGTCTGTTTGAGATAACATTTCCAAGTTCCAATGCAAAAATCGGGACAAAATCTTAACTCATTAGCTTTATAAAAGACAAAGCACATACAATGCAGGACAGAAAATGAAAATAAATTCTCAAACCAAATATGGTATTGGATAAGCTGAATGTTATGTACGACGTGAAAGCTCCCAATGGAGCACAAGAACGGATAGCAAAATGATACATCTACGCTCAAGACCAACAGCAAGTGTCCACACAATAGTACAGCGAGACACCATGGTTCAACTATCAAGAATCTAGGTTTCCTTAAGGTGCTTAAATCCTGTTGAAACATCATAAATATATGTAGAAAATGCTATTTATTCAGATTATTGTTAAAAATCCAACTTTTCTTTAAGCATTTGAACAGGACCAATATAGTCTAGTAGCTGTGAGTGACAGGGGCAGGGAGAATGAAACAGCAAAAATCTGCACATGAGGGGTAAAGTACCTTCCAAAAGGAACAATTGGACACAGGATGTAAACTGAACCGTCACTGAACAAAATAAAGACCTGTAAAATGGCACAAAATATGCAGTTAATGGCAAGAAACTGGGTAGTGAAAACTGAAACTACATATCTACTTACCTAATAATTGAAAATTCTAAAATAACTATTCAGCAGAAATCCCAAGTGAGAATTAGCAAGTGCTACCGTAATCAACAAAAATTATTGAAATCTACTTTCAATAATAGTTAACCTCAGAATGTTCTATACCAAGAGTAAGCAGTAACACAGTTTACATTTCAAGTAGATTTACATGTCTTACAAACTATCAGCAAATCCACCAGATGAAGAAATGTATTTATGTGAAAAGAAAAAACTAACAGTGTGGAAAACAGAAACTACTCAAGTATGTGATAAATGGATCCAAAACCAAAATTCCAATAACATTGAAAAAATCATGAACGTGAAAACATCCATTATGGATATAATATCTGAAGTTGACATAATAGTGGTATATTCAAAAAATCATTGAGAAAATGCAAATCAAATGGAATCACAAGTTTCAATTATTACTCACACTAAACCGGTCCCACAGGTGATCACTGCCAAATGAAAAATCAGCGGGGCAAATTGATGTGGCATTCCTACACATTGATTTGCCATTCCTGTGTCTTCCTGGTTCTGCAGGCTGCAGATAATACTCTTGCTCTGGTTGCATAAGATTTGAAGACAAATCAAAAATTCTACAAAACAATAGCAAACATGAAAGATTAAAAACAAATATAGTGAACATCTGTGACAGCTACAAATATAATCTAATACAAACATTGGAAAGTAGGATACATCAAAACCATGTTCTCAACAGCTACAAATATAATCTAATACAAACATTGGAAAGTAGGATACATCAAAACCATGTTCTCAACTTGTTTCTCCCAACTAACTGAATTCAGATTCAATCCAACTACTTAGATTTAGTTAAGAATTCCGTACCTGGTACTCAGTTGCCAGTTAGAGCTCAATCTTGTACTAAAATAGATTTCACCAAGTTATCTTGGCTTTGTAATGTAAGACTTCCCTAATTAGAGTGGTTCAACCATCCATAAGTCCACCATTTTTTTTTCTTTATAAATAAACTCATCGGCATTTGTCTACTATTTTATGCTTCTATGTTTTTCAACATGATGCAAAACAAAGAAAAACCCAGAAAGTATATTCCAAATTTCACAGATCGCATTACACCAATACTTGTGTTTACAACACAAAAACTACACAACATATTTCCTAAGTGAAAAGGAATGTAATACCTGAAAACAGAATCGGAAGAAAGGATTCCCAAGTGAGTGTCACTGTAAGGGTGCCACAAAACTTGCAGCACACGTATGACGCTGCTGCCATTAGAATAGATTTGTGAACCAACATTAACAGTCCTGCAAAATGGTAACAACAATTTCGGTATGAACCAAGAGATTTCCATTTGATTCTCCATCACAAGGATTGAGATAATTAAAAACATGAAAAAATAATAAGATATAAGAAATGAGTCAAAGAAATCATAAAGCTAGAATAGCTCTCAAAAAAGAGGTGCTCCTATAATTTGTACTTTTCTATGAAAATTTGAACTTTTCAGCAGCTTAAAAAAAAATTTACCCAGAAGAATATTTGCCTGAAATAATCTACAGCAGTTATATTCCAATTTCACCCAAGTTGCATCAATTGACACCTGATTCCACAAATTCTAAAATGCCAAGTGAAACGATAAATCGAAAACACATTGGTTTAACGCCATACCTGCAAATTATGGCATTGTCTTTGGAAGAAGCACGCCCGTATAGATACATAACACAATGAGCATCCGAACCAGCAAGCAAAAGTGCTGATCCATTCCTATTAATAGAAATTTTCTCAACTTCAAATTCAACCTCCACAACTGGTCGCAATACCTATCAAATTATTTAAATTTATCAAAAATAAACTTAAAAACTAAAAAGGGACATGACAATTCAAATACCTAGAAATGCCAATTTGTATGCATATATTGTTATCTAACAATTCAAAAACAACACCAGAAGTAAATATTAACCAACACTCACGGTCACTCATTCTACTTTCCTTCACTTTCTCAGCAGCCAAACACGAGATAAAAGGAAAATCGAGAGAATGAAAGAAAGGTGACCTTAGACGGCGAGGCAGCGAGGACAGAGGTCGGCACCGGCTCGCCGAGGCGAACCGAGATCTGATGAAGGCAGAGGAGGTTGGAGTCCCAGAAGTAGAGGCGAGAAGCTCCGTCCCAAGCCAAGAGATTTCTCGGCGATAGGAGAGGGGCGGATACGGCGGCGGAGGAGGTGAAGACCGGGTGGTTCTTGAGGGGAACCCATTCGACGTCGTTTTTGGGCGTCGAGGACCTTCCTTGCTCTGGTTTCGCTTCCTGCAAATCGAAGTTGAACCTCATTTTCTCTGCTCCGGGGGGCTAGCAAGCTTTCTTCCGGCTATGGAACGAGCTCTAAAACCCTGGTTTTTTCTTTTCCGGGAAAATCTCGATTTTTCGCTTGGGCGAAAATCTGTGTGAAATTTCAGATAATTCAAAATCAACGACGTCGTTTCTCTCCTCTTTTTTTTACTCTCAGAAGACGTTTTGTTCATGGATTAGAATAATGAGATTAGAATCATTTTTGATTTATGTGTATTTTTTATGAGAGAAAATACTGTAGCGAACCATAAACCATAATTCGAATCGGGGTATGAACCTCCCAACCAAACAACCCCTTACTCTCTTGAGTAATGCTTGACTTTAGGCCCGTTCAGTTCGCTGATTCGAGTTGAGATGTGACTTTATGTGAAAGCTTTTTACTGTAGCAAAAAAGTTAGATGTGACTGTTTCTGAGAGATTTTTACTGTAACAAAACTTGAATTCTAAACTCGAATCGGTGAAATGAACAAGGCCTTTGACATTCAGAATTTGAAACGAGGAAATGAGACAAATGTTTGTATTTATATCTAAATTTGTATCTCTTATTTTTAATAAAATAATTATATTAGTCAAAATGATATTAATCAAGAGTAATGAGTAAAAATTTAAACTGTGGTTGCGGCCCTGGCCAGTCTAAATATTTTTGTTGTGTTTGGAATTGTTCTTATTTTTATTTTTCACATTTTTTGAGAAAGAAAAAATGAAAACGATTTCAAAACGGCGTTTGACACAATTAAAGACAAAAAATGAAAATGAAAACGATTTTTTAGTTTAGTGTAAAATTGGAGAGTTTTTGGGCGCGTTTGGAACTCGCTCCAAAATAATTTTGTTTTTTGTATGAAAATGAAAATGAAAACGTTTTCAATCTCAAACAGAAATCATTTTTAAAAATGTGTTTGGTAGTTTTATCAAGAGATTGTTTTCAGTATAAAAAAACTCATTAATGTCCTCTCTCTCTGCTCGATGGAGGAGAAAAAGAAAACAAAAAATGAAAAATGACTAAAAGTCATTTTTTATTTTTCTCTCATTTTACACTAAACCAAAAAATTATTTTCATTTATGTTTTTTGTTTTTATTGCACTAAACGTCATTTTGGAAACACTTTCATTTTTTCTTTCTCAAAAAACGTAAAAAATAAAAACATGATCAATTCCAAACACGGCCTTTGTTTTTGTTTTCTCATCTCTCGAGCTGAGAGAGAGAGACATTAATGAGTTTTTTATACTGAAAATAATATATTGATAAAACTACCAAATGTATTTTTAAAAATGATTTATGTCTGAGATTGAAAACGTTTTCATTTCCATTTTCATACAAAAAATAAAATCATTTTGGAAGGAGTTCCAAACGCAATCTTTTTCTTTCTCAGAAAAATTGTTGAACTTAACATTAGAGTGCATAAGTCTGAATTTTAACCTCTTACTCTTGATTATTACTATTTTAATTAGTATAATATAAAAAAATATTAATGAAAAATAAGTTATAAAAATTCAGACACGTACACTCTAAAAGAGTATTTGTCTCATTTTTTGTTTAGAGAAAACTGGGGGAATGAAGGAAGTAGCAAATTTGAGAGGGGGATAAAATTAATAGCATATATTAAAGGAACATTTAGTAAATAATGGAAAAGTTTAAATTTTATATTTTAACATAGATGTGTTATCGAAAATGTATCTAAAAATATTTAAAATTTGAAAATCTCTCTCTTCTTTTAGAGATGTCAATTGGACCGGGCCACCCATTGATCATGATGGTGCGGCACGAAAAATTTTGGACTGAGCACATCACAGCACGAGATTATTATAGGCTGGGCTAAGCACGACACAAGGTGGTGGGTTGTGCCGAACTCATATAGTTTTAAACACGTGGGTCTGATATGACACAAAACGATGATAAGCTCGAACTCAACACGAGCACGGTATAGCCATTAAGTGCGATCAGTCGACCCAACGAATATAAAATTTTTTTCATTTCTATTATATAATTTTTATGTTATTGTTGCAATTTTTTCAATAATTAAAATAATTATATATCCAGTAAATTAGTAATTATGATCGCATCATGTTTTTTGCTTAGTAACAGCGTATGAAATTATATCTTTTTTAAAATTATTTTTTATTTGAAAAAATTCAAAAAATTATTTTTTTATCATGCAAAAAAAATTTAAATGACTAAAATGGTCCAATGGGTGGGCACAAAGGTCCATTATGCCAAGCATGACAAAACCATGAGCACAACACGGAGCGAGCACGAATGTGCTTAGGCTTATAAGCTGGGCCGAGTCTATGATTTTAAATCTTAGACTGGCATGAGCAAGACACAAAGTTTAATGGGTAAGCCGAACGCAATACGAAACACGTATGGGCCTAGCCGATTGTGGACCGGGCCGACATGGCACAATTGACATATTTATCCTCTCCTACTATTTTTAACTTTTTCAAGTCTAGTTATGAAAAAGTCTAAAAAAAACATCCCCTCCTCTAGTTTGACTAGTCAAATTTTTTAAATATATTGTTCTAGCAGTAGGTATTGTTCTTGAAAAGAAATAAAAAAAAATTAACTCCTATGTTAGTCAAAATCCATTTTTGCCTCTTGATTAGTACATGAAAATGCACCCTAAATATTACTTTTGATTTATATTATATTAAAATATTTAAACTTTAATTAAACAATTTAATTATTTTTATTCATAATATTTTTAATTAGAATTTGTCTAGTTTTTGCTTCATTATTTACAGATGAAAGCAGTGTAAAATGCTACACAAGAAGAAGCCATAAAAGCCATATTTTCAACCAATCCGAGCCACTAAGCCTAGCCACACAAGCCACATTAAGAGAGAAAGAAACGCACCAAGCCGAGTCAAGCCACTAAGCCGAGCTGAGCAACTATCATTTCCCTCCGCGTGGGCCCCAGCTCTTTCGCGTTTCCCGACTCTCCCTCGTGCGCGTCACCAGCACGCCCATCTCTCAGCGCGCGTGTTCCTTCCACGCAGCCCCCAGTGCGCGTTCCAGTTTTCTCCCGCGTGGGTCCCGCGTGCAGCGCGCTAGTCTGCTGCCTATTCGCCGTGCGTGACAGCTGTCTCTGTGGACCCCAACTGTCTCCCTACTCTGACCACCGCCAGCTCCCCTCTTTCCACTCTGCACTCGACACGTGGCAACTTTATTCCCTTCATCCAGCCGAGCTTCGACACGTGTCCCCTTGGTGCTGAATCTGAATTTCTTCCCCAAAAATCAGAGCAAATTACCAGATTTCTTCCCCAAATTAAATATATGATTTCTCATAATTTATGTGTAATTTTATTTAGTTTCCTTTTCTTTTGTAATTTTCTATTTTTATTATTTATTTTCTTATTTGACTGGCAACCTCGAAACACTATAAATATAGGGGTTAGCCTAAGGTTTTTAGAAGCTTTTCATATTCAGTTTTTTGTTGTCTTGCTGTCACTCTCATATTTTCTCTCTAGAACTTGTGAGAATGTTTTGCAAGCTAGGCTAGAGTTCTCTTGGTGAGGTTAGAGATGAACTTTTGTTGAGGAGACGTTTGGTTCATGGATTAGAATCATGAGATGTTTGATTTACGTGTATTTTTTGTGAGAGAAAACACTGTAACGAACCACAAATCATGATTCGAATTGGTGTACGAATCCTACAACCAAACAACTCTTGAGTGACCCAATTCGGGCTTTTGATTCCATGTGTTGTAAAGTTCAATATCTGGATAAATTAAATCTCTATGTTTACTCCGAAAATATTATTATTACAAGTTATCCAAAATCGACAATATATCAATTTGACAATATTACAGTAAAAGACAATTTACAAAATAATTTGAATAACAAAACAATGCGTGACAGAATTACATAAGAAAAGCGTGACTGAACTTATATAAAAATAGGCACACTATATTTTAAAAAATAAATGAAAGATATATGAGATTTAATTCATTCAAATATTAAACTTTACAGCACATGGAATCAAAAGCCCGAATTAGGTCACTCAACAAAAGTTCATCTCTAACCTCACCAAGAGAACTCTAGCCTAACTTGCAAAACATTCTCACAAGTTCTAGAGAGAAAATATAAGAGTGACAGCAAGACGACTGAAAACTGAATATGAAAAGCTTCTAAAAACCTTAGGCTAACCCATTTATTTATTGTGTTTTGAGGTTGCCAGTCAAATAAGGAAACAAATAATAAAAATAGATAATTACAAAAGAAAAGGAAACCAAATAAAATTACACATAAATTAATAGAAATCATATATTTAATTTGGGGAAGAAATTACAAAAGAAAAGGAAACTAAATAAAATTACACATAAATTAATAGAAATCATATATTTAATTTGGGAAAGATTTGCTCTGATTTTTGGGAAAGAAATTCAGATTCAGCACCAAGGGGACACGTGTCGAAGCTCGGTTGGATGAAGGGAATATAGTTGCCACATGTTGAGCGCGGAGTGGAAAGAGCGGAGATGGCGTTAGTCAGAGCAGGGAGACAGCGGGGTCCACAGAGACAGCTGTCACGCACAGAGAATGGGAAGCAGACTGGCGCGCTGCACGCGGGAGAAAACTGGAATACGCGCTGGGGGCTTCGTGGAAGGAACGCGTGCGCTGGGAGATAGGCGTGCTGGTGACGCGCGCGAGGGAGAGTCGGGAAACGCGAAAGAGCTGGGGCCCACGCGGAGGGAAATGATAGTTGCTCGGCTTGGTGGCTTAACTCGGCTTGGTGCGTTTCTTTCTCTCTTAATATGGCTTGTGTGGTTTGGCTTAGTGGCTCGGATTGGTTGAAAATATGGCTTTTATGGCTTCTTCTTGTGTAACTTTTTAAACTGCTTTTATCTGTAAATAATTAAATAAAAACTAGACAAATTCTAATTAAAAATATTATGAATAAAAATAATGGAATTGTTTAATTAAAGCTTTAATATTTTAATATAATATAAATCAAAAGCAATATTTAGGGTGCATTTTCATGTACTAATCACAACCCTCAACCAGCTTATTACTAGTATCTAGCAATCCAAGCGCAAAAGAAATCATGTCATAAGAAAATTTGAGTTTTAACTGCTTAGTCACCTGAGTATTTCAAGCAAAGTGTCAGTAAGAAGTCAAAAGATACTATTAAGATTATTTCAGTCATAACTCCAGAGTCGTGTGTGTGTGCTCCAAACCATAACCTTCTTACCACTGACCATAACACATGCAGCTTTGAAAAATTCACCAAGTAGAAGTCTCAACTCCATTGATCTCACGGGTGTCAGATATATTTGAGTGCAAAGGTTTTCTTTCATAGAGTTGGAAATGGAACAATCAACGCTCAGTGCGAGTAAGGTAAAATTTAGGACAAACAATTAAATGAACATTGACCAAAAGATAGGTTAATCAACTACTAGAACATTCCACCATTCTTACCACAAACCAGCTTTTGGGATTTCATTCAGGTTAAACAGAAATTTACAGAAACGAACAAAGAGCCAAAAACATGCATATTCCTTTTTTTTTTTTTGGCAAGAGACAACCTGCAATAATAAAGTGAATGTAGAAATGTGTTCTTTTGACAAACAGTTATATAACATCAAATGTGATTAACATCAAACTACAGGATCTGTGAAATGTTGCGCTTGCTCAGTTGATTTTTTTTTATTTTTTTTAAAGATAAGATAAGAAATTAAGCTCTATTACATAAGATCGTTCCCATCTAACTGAAAATCCATCCCTCAAGCATATGCACCAAGCATACCACTAACCATGTAATGATGTTCTAATGGTGATTTTACCAGCTCAAAAGATCAATGAAGGTTCAAAAGTCATTTTCTCTACACTCTTAACTCACCAAAAATCAAGCACTTAAACTCAGGAATTTTCTCAACTAACATGTATTAACATCCATCTTACCACAAGGTTTAGCGCGTGTAAAAAAGAAACTCTGGAAGTCATTTCTTAGTAATCAAGACAGCGAAAATCAACCCAAACTAAACATTTTAAAATCATACTCAGATATCTTCGTAAAAATTTTAACCTAATAATCAACATGACAAAAATCACTCTTACACATGAATATGCTCACCACCCCCAACCAAAATCAGACAGTGTCCTCATTGTCAAAAATTATGAAAATATAGAGAAAGAAGACACATGGACGATGAGCATTCCACATATGAGCACAGCCTGAGCTTCCTGATATGAGTCTCCAAAAATACACATAAAAATGTAAAAAAAAGTAAAGAAAACAAAAAATGAAAATATGGTACAGGAGATGTGAGCAAACTACTCAGTGTTGGTAAACGAGGTCGTCGAGAATGATCTCTTCAACCTGGTTCACTCGTTCTAGGTAATTCTTCAGACGCTAGCCATTTACTTTGAAGATTCTCCCATCGGTCGGGTCCTCAACCTCGATAGGACCACTGGGAAAAACGCGTTTCACTACGAACAGGCCAGTCCACCGCGACCTCAACTTACCGGGGTGGAGATGCAAACAGGAATCATAGAGATAAACCCATTGATTCGGCTCGAAGTTCTTCCTCAGGATCTACTTGTCATGAACCGCCTTCATTTTTGCCTTGTAGATCCTAGAATTGTCATAAGCATCGTTCCTTAACTCCTCAATTTTGAAAAGCTGGAGTTTCTGATTGATACCTGCAGCGCTGAGATCAAAGTTGAGGGCTTTGGTAGCCCAATAAGCCTTATGTTCAAGCTCTACAGGTAGATGATAGGCTTTTCTAAAGACAAGCCGGTAGGGAGACATCCCAAGTTGGGTGTTGTAAGCAGTGCGGTATGCCCAAAGTGCGTTTGTAAGGCGCAGAAACCAGTCCTTGCGATCGGGATTAATCATTTTTTCCAGAATTTGCTTAATTGGCCATTTGTCTGTGGGTGATAGGCAGTCAAAACTTTATGAACCACACCGTATTTGCGCATTAGAGCCTCAAAAGAACGGTTGCAGAAATGGGTGCCTTGATCACTGATGATGGCATGCGGTGTTCCAAATCGAGATAACACATTTTCTTTTAAGAACTTTACAACAGTGGTGTTATCATTGTTCCGGCACACTATGGCTTCTACCCACTTAGACACGTAATCCACAACGAGGAGTATGTAAAGGAATCCATAAGAAGGTGGAAATGGTCCCATAAAGTCTATCCCCTAGCAATTGAATATTTCTATTACGAGAATCGGGTTCAAGGGCATCATATGGTGACGGGACAAAGCACCTAACTTTTGGCACCTCTCACAGGAACGGCAAAAGTCATTGGTGTCCTTGAACAAAGTGGGCCAATAGAGACCACACTGCAAGATCTTCGCGGCGGTCTTCTTCACAGAAAAATGACTGCCACATGCATCATTGTGACAAAAGTTCAGAACACTAGACACTTCATCATCTGGGATGCATCGTCTCATGATCTGGTCGGGACAGTACTTAAAAAGATAGGGGCCATCCCAGTAAAAGTTACGAACCTCGACCAAAAACTTCCTCTTGTCTTGTGCACTCCAGGTATATGGAATCTCGCCAGTCACCAAGTAGTTAACAATGTGAGCATACCATGGCATCTTAGTGACAGCGAAGAGATGTTCATCAGGGAAGTCATCTCTAATAGTAGGACTTTCGGCGGAATCATTAAACTCAAGACGAGATAAGTGGTCCGCCACCACATTTTCGACTCCCTTCTTATCCTTGATTATCAAGTCAAATTCCTGCAGAAGAAGGATCCACCTAATTAAACGCTCCTTAGCATCCTTTTTGGAGAGAAAGTACTTAAGGGCAGCATGATCGGTGAAGATGATGATAGGTGAACTAATCAAATATGCACGGAACTTGTCGAGACCAAATACTACAGCAAGCAACTCTTTTTCAGTAGTTGAGTAGTTCATCTTAGCATTGTTCAAAGTACGGCTTGCATAGTAGACAACGAAAGGCTTCCCTTCCCTCTTTTGACCAAGAACGGCCCCCACAACGTAATTACTTGCGTCACACATGATCTCGAAATGTAAGCTCCAATCTGGTGACTACATAATAGGGGCAGAAGTCAGTTTTGCGATGAGTGTTCGGAATGCATCCTCACACTCTTGTGTCCAGTTGAACACAACATATTTAGCTAGGAGGTTGCTTAGCGGTCCTATAGATGAAAAGTTCTGAATGAACCTCCTTTAGAATCCGGCGTGCCCCAAAAAAGATCGAACATCCTTAACAGCCTTGGGGGTGGGCAGGTTGGAAATGAGTTCAACCTTGGAACGGTCTACCTCGATTCCTCTTTTAGAAACAATGTGCCCAAGCACTATGCCGGATGACACCATGAAATGACACTTCTCCCAATTGAGCACGAGACCTTTCTCTTCACATCTTTGCAAAACGGCTTCCAAGTTGAGAAGGCACGTGTCGAATGAATCTCCGAAGACTGTCAAATCATCCATGAACACTTTCATACATTTCTCGATCATGTCGCTGAAAATGCTCATCATACACCTTAAAATGTGGCAGGGGCGTTACACAGTCCAAATGGCATTCGCCGGAAGGCATATGTACCAAAAGGACATGTGAATGTGGTTTTATCCTGGTCTTCTAATGCAATCTCTATCTGATAATACCCTAAATAGCCATCAAGAAAGCAATAGAAAGAATGACCAACATAGAGATTTAATTTATTCGATCCTTTTATTTTGTGAATAAAAACTTGAATTGGTGAACGAAATATTAAGGATTCTCGACACCTTACCGTTTTTACTACTGAATTTTCTTCATACAAATTTTCTCATTTTTCATTTTATTTGCAATAAAATCTCAAAAATTCTTTTTTTTCTACGCTCTTATTTTGCTAATCTTTCTTGTTATTTTGTTATCTCTCTGTAGATACGACCACCCTTTTGTGTTACAATTGACCGCTTGTGAACATCACTTTTGGGCGTTAATCACCTCTTTTATTATGTAAATACATAAAATATTCTTTATGTTTATAAAATTAGTCGCAAAATATCCCCATAACAATCAAACTTTTTGAAATACCAAAATGCATGCATAAAGATGAAAAAAAAACTTTAAAAAAACGCATCATAGGTCGGCTAATCGGAAGCGAAGTTGAGGCCGCGACAAAAAGGCAGAGACATTGGGCATATAGGCCTAGACTGTTATTGTACTCGGATATGGAACAACATTGGGTTCAAGACTAACACCGACGTTGGGGATCAGCTGCAGGTTTAGGGCGATGAGGAGACAGACATCAAGTTCGAGATGAAGAGTTAGAATAAGCGGCAGCGTACAAGAATAGCACTGGTGGATAGGGTTTGGATGAGACGTTGGGGGTTAGGTAAGGACCAATGGTTTGGAACAAGCATTACTACATTAGGAATATACCGACGAGCCTGTACCCGTGTCAAGTTTGGCCGAGAGGCCTCCAAGCCCGGCTCTAAACTGCAGGTTTGCCGATGAGTTGTAAGAAATAATTTGGTTATAAATTGGTTAAAAAAAAAAAGTTTCCCAATCAACTTAAGTCACGACTGTACAATAAAAAATTTCAATGCACTGTCGTGAAATCTTAGTACGACAATTTCTTCAGGAGCACAAAAACTTCCAAACTAGTGATCTGCACTAGTATTTACATTGGATTTCAAACATTGGGCAAATGAAATAAACATAAAAGTCACTCCTCTGTACATATAAACAACAAAAGTTTTCACACCATAAGTTCAGAAAAATGCCTCTCGCAAACTTATATTTCTTCTGTACAAATTAAAACTGTACTGTACATTTGGTTAGACAAAAAGAAAAGCAAAAAACAAAACAAAAAACAAAACAAAACAATGCATGTGTATATATTCCGAAATATGGCAGCCTCTATAACTACAATCACCAGTTCACACCATTTATACACACGTTAGCATATACGGCATGTTCAAGTGGTCGCATGAATTTATCTGCTGTTTGTCAGTTTCTTTTGTAAATAGTCTTGAGCTTGTTGATTCCTTTTTTGAAAGAAATCTGCAGAAAACAAACAGTTTTCAGAACTTCAGTTGGTTGTATTTGGTGTCTGATGTGTTGTTGAGTCAAATATGAGTCATTTTGGACCAGTTTGTGTTGTGATCAGCACATGGGTGATGACCAATTTTATGTAAAAAAAAAAAAATGAAAAAAAGAGTAAAGAACTAGTTAGAGAATTTTACCTGAAAACTCAAAACTCCAAATACATGGTTAGTTGAACAAAAGGAAGAAATCCCATGTTAAAAGTTCTCTATGTTGCTAGTGTTTATTTCGTTCTTTCTTCCTGAAGAATCTTCTGATACCTAGGAAATCCATTCTTGCAAGCTGAAACCTGCACACATAATACAAGATAACATATATATTATTCACATATTCATAGTTCTATTAGATTCACGGAATAGATTAACAAGAAAAAATGGTTTATGGGTATCATTAATTAGTATACCTAGTTTGATTTATTGCTGGGCACTACTTTATCACTTTTGTACTAAAGTCTTTGGTTGTTATTTCAACGGTACAAACGCCCAAGAATAACATGTTGAAAGCATAGCTTTTCTCCCAAGTATCGTTCTGTTAAGATCCCCCTTTGTGGGAAAAGAATATTATATGTGGTGATGAGAAGGATAGTACTAAAAAAAATAAAAAATTTAAAAAATAAAGGAGAAGAGCACATGATTTTTTTTTTTTTTAAAGAAAAATAAAGAAAGTTTATTCTGACCAGGCCAAATGTGGGCACAGCTTTCATTTTCAAATAGTCAAAATAATCCATCTGCAAGTTGCCCATAGGCCGTGGCCGAGGACGGCCTTCCATCGTGGACTCCTTGAATAGGAAGGATTCAAATCATATTTTATTTTTGATTAATTAGTAGACCAAGCAATAATTCTAACAGATATAAAAAGGGGGAATTTTCGATTGTTAAAATAAAACCACTGGAGCTTTCTAAATTAGGGATATTAACTTAAAAAAATGGTCCGAAATAATTTTTCATTACAACAATATTAAAACGAATTCCTAAAAAAGTAGATTTTCACATCCTACCAAAAAAATTCTCAAAAAACCATTTTAAAACTGGTCTTTTGGAACTCCTTAACACTAACATGATCATTACTGCAGTATTCCGGACCCGATTGCCATACTTTTTAAAGCACTAATAATTTTGATTTATTTTTCTTTCCTTCCTTGTTGAAAAAAAAAAAAAAAAAATTGACCTTCCAGAAGCTTAAAAATTCAACCTTTCTCAGTCAGCCATTAATTTTAATAAAAAAATTTATAGTCCTTTAGTTCAATAATTTTAATTTTTAATTTAAATTAAGATGTGTATATAAAATTTAAAATTTTTTTATTATAATAAAAAAATTATATACGATTATTTTTGAGAATTTTTTATTATAATAAAATTTAAATAAACCGTCTTAATTCTTTTCAGTTAATAATCCTCGTCGGTCCAGAAGCGTCCGTGACAATTAGGATTTTGATACCGGCAGTTTTCATGTCACGTTTCACATTATTATGTAGCATCTAACATTTTTATCACCCCTAGTAATATATTTCTTTAACTTAAAAAACAAAATAATAATAAAAAAATAGTAGAGTAAAGAAAACTCACAGCTTCAATGTCGATTTTGTAAACCAAAAGCTTCCGTCTTTCTCTGCAACTGGTTCTATACGCCACAACGATGTGGGCGACAGCCAAAACCAAGGAGCACAAAAAGAGGGCTATTTCATTATACGACGGCCCACCGGAGGCGCTAAACACAAACGAAGCCTTAAACGACACGAAAACCAGCGACGAAATCGAACACACCGTCGTAATCCCCAAATACGGTCCTCTCGATAGCCTCGGCCCGTCGCAAAACCCATAAACACCTAAAAAAACAAAAACAAAAAAAAAACGAAATTCAGATTCAGAAAATAAAATATATATATATATATAGAGAGAGAGAGAGAGAGAGAGAGAGAGAGAGAGAGAGAGAAATTTATCATTTTTATTTTTTTTATTTTTTGTGGGCTTACAGAGTATGATGAGTGATCTGAGGATGGAGATAAGGGGGATATCGATGAGGGAGTAACGGAAGTCGTAGTTTCGGAAGTGAAACGACAGCGTTTCGAGAGGAGAAGAAGACGACGGAGAGGCGGCGGCGGCGGCGGGGGGGGGGGGCCGGGTGGGGGGGAAGGCCGAGGCCGACAGGATGGCGGAAGGGAGAAGCGCGTCGGCGATAACGAGGAGGACGGGAGCGGAGAAGAGGAGGAGAGAGATAAGCATCGTTATTAAGAAGAAAACTGTCTTTACCACTCTCACAACTCTTCTCGATTTCTCCTCCTTTGAGGAAATTAAGGGAAAACCAATCATCGAAATTGCAAGAGATTTTGCTTTTTGGTTGAGAAATTGAGAGAAAATTAGAGGCTTAAATGGTGATTATGTTGTTGTTGTTGTGAAGAAGGAGATGAGTATTTTCTTCTGAGAAGAAGTGACTTGTCTACACGCGCAAGTTTTAGCGGGTCAAATATAGGAGCTCTGATTCTTCTTCTTTCTCTCTCCTCTTTCTCTCTCTACTGTCTCTCTGACACAAAAGCTAACGGCAATACCCAAAACGCCTTAAAACGACAATTAACAATTAACGGGATGTTTTTTTTAAGAAAAAAAATGGAATTCCTGGTTTAATTTAGTCGGATATAAATATAAATAAATAGTCAGATATAATCGTGTGTGAGTGGGAGCATGAATGTAGCCGCGCGAAAAATGTGGTTCTTTCCATTGGGACATTGACATACGTCATGAGGTAATTGTGTCGTGGTGTTTGGGAAATTCTAGAATATAGTCAAAGAAAATACCGTGTGCTACCTTAAAAAATTGGGTTAATCCCACAGTCCTCATGTCTATTTTAAATATCGTTTGTCTTTAATTTTTAAAGCGTCGTATAATTAATTTTTATTTTATTATGTTTTAATTTAGCTCCTCCTCCATAATATACGTCTAGACACGGTGTAAATTATGAACTAAAATTATAAATAATTAAAATTTAAAGATTATATGTGAAAATTAATTTTTTTATTTTTTTATTAATTTAGTTTCTAAACTTATATGTTTTTAATCTTAGTCTTTAATTTCTATAAATTTCGTTAAACATTTAACACTTAACTAATAAAAATACTGAAATTAAAATAGAGTAAAACATTAGAGACCAAATTTTGCTATACAATATAATTATATAGTAATTATTTTAATGAGGTCAAACTTTGCTATTTTTATAATATTTTAAAAATACTTTGTTATATTTCAACTTTAGTATTTAAATTTTCTTATATGTGTAAATAGCTCTTAGGTCAACTTTTTGTCCTCGTTGATGAACCAAATTTTAATAAATTTGATTTTTTTTTTTTTAGTTCTGATGTTATCTACCGGTCGTGAAATGTGCAATAAGTTGCTTCTGCATGAAAACGGAGGAATTATTCACTTTCTTATATAATCATGTATTTACTATACATCACTAAAGAGAGTATACGAGATCTTGGGCACTATAAATAATAAGAAAATAGAATATCAATCTTTGTACGTTTTTTGTGTTTATTTTCTTTTAAATGTAATGAATACCAAATTTATTATTATATCTTAATCAGTTCTTGTGTTACCGTTACTAATTATTTAATTATGTAAAAAGATATTTTCTGGTTCCATTGAAAAGATTACTACTTCTAAATACAGTAAAAACGTAGGGAAATAAAATGTTTCCCGTTACATCATATAATAAGCAATTAAACATAAAAAATAAAATCAATAATCCTTGTTAATACTCCTGTAATTTATTTTACTTTTCTTTTTTCTCATTACATGTATTTATGGTTTGATAAACAGGGCACTTACAGTATTACGGATTTATTTTCTTTGTTGGTTCTATTGATGGAACATGCATTTGAAAGAACATGGTAAAATTAAATAGGATATGCGAATACAATGAAATTTTATTGTCAATATGATAATTTAAAAATATCTAGCAAAATCTTCGTTGGTTCATTGTTTGTAAACCGATCTTTTAAAAATACCATATCTAAAAAAATTAGCTACATATTTGGTAGAATTTAAATTGAATTTCAATCAATCAAACGGATAAGGTGGAACCGATCAATTGGGAAGCATGTGATCACATGGATCAATTGGGAAGCATGTGATCACATGGAACATTTTGTCCTCGCAAAGGATTAGTATTTTTTTCCCCTTGTTATTTAGTTTTGTCGAGCTTGTATACATTTTGTGGCTAAAATATTTGTTGTTTAAAAAAAAAAAAAACACACAATGTAGTTAGAATCTTTGGTGGTTCATTCATAGATAGTTAAGGAGGTGGATATGCAACTTTCCAGTTCAATATTTCATTTGTTAATCTCTTCTTTGGTGGGGGCCGAGATTCCACTAAACGAATCTATCTCCACTATGCAACAAAAGATGTACATAATATTTATAAATAGCCATAAACTTTCGTATCAAAAAATAAAATAAAAGAGCCACAAACTTTTTATATAAAATAACCAAGTTTATGTTTAACAGATTGTTTTATCCATCAACTTGATATTTTTTACACAATCCTCTGAGCTACCACTCCGTTTTTAGCTTTATAAATGAGGAAGTTTGATATTTGTTGTATAGGAGAGATTTTCTCTCTCTTTTAAATATTATAGGATAAATTTGAAACATCTTGACATTCTCATCCAATGACAACCTAACACATTTTATACTACAAAATAAAAACCTAATACATGTTATTATATAAAATTATGTGTATGTGAAGAAAAGATGTGGGGTCTAAAGGGCTTAGGTGCAAATGCCATAAAATTGTGTCATTGCTTTTGAAACTAATGTTTGGTAGAAGGATTCGTTCCCTAATTCGAATCATGATTCATGGTTCGCTACAGTATTTTCTCTCACAAAAAATTCACGTAAATCGAAAATAGTTCGAATCACATGGTTTGAATCCTCCAACTAAACGTGCTGAGAAGAGCAAGAGATCATCTGAAAGGGATAAATAATTAAAAACTAAATAAACCTTTTTGCTTAGTGGAGTTGCAATGGAGTTTCATTTTTTTTTTAAATAATAATAATCAAGATTAGTCAAAGCTCGGAAGGCTAGCTTCATATTAGTGAATTCACGTTTTATTAGTGGTTTTTTTTTTTCCTTGTGGAAGGTTCAGATTCAGATTCATAAATTAGGTTTCAATGTGAAGATTTTTAGTTTCTAGGCCTCTAAGTAGAGGTAGTCAAATTGAAACAGAATTTGGCTGTTTGTATTATAAAGCCGCCTTTGGCCGGGCTAACGACAAGTCAAATGTCAAAAATGCTTTGCCCAAATTCTAGAGTCAAGAAATTGTCCCAAAAATAAAAATAAGAAAAAGTTCGAGGGAAAAAAATCTATAGTCAAGACATCAGGTGTGGGCCCTTAGAACCTTCGGTGGGTCCCAAGATTATAAATTTCCTATTTTTCCTTTTTATTTCATTTCCCTCACTTTAGTATAAACTCTTTCCAGCGAAGGATCGTTGGCCTGGTTTCTTTTGCACTGTATTAATCGTCGCTTCTATTTTGAAACGAATTATTGAATCAACTTTGGATTATGTGCCTGGTATGATTGGTATGCAAACCAATTTCTTTTAATTTATGCGAAAAAATTCATGACTGAGGGGTCGTTTAATTTGATGATTTAAATTTTTAATTTGAGTTGAGATATAATTTTATGTGAGAATTTTTTTACTGTTATGAAAAAATTAAGGGGTTGTTCTTTTAGAGTGTAATTTGAGTGTAATTTTTGAGTTAAATTTGATTTATAACTTGAGTTGAAGTTGTAACTTGAATAAAGTTGAGTAAAGTTGAATTAAGTTGGAACTTAAAAGAACGTGAACTTCAATAAAATTGTAACTTGAGTTTAAATTTTTTCTGAGTTTTATTGCAAAAGAACAACCCCTAAATGTGACTGTTTTTTAGAACCTTTTACTGTAATCAAACTTAAACTTTAAATTTAAATCAGTAAAATAAACGATACTTAAATTAAAATGAGTTGTCATGAAAGTAGAATACTTCCCAAAAACAAAACAAAAATCCACATTTTTCATTTATGTTTACCATAATGGTTAATAAAGAATTATGATATGCGAGAACGATCTTTTTTATTATAGAGTCGGTTTCTTATAGTAATTTACGTTTTTAATAATTAAATTTGATTAAAATCAAATTATAATAAAAAAATAGACAAAACAAATAAGTTTTTATATAAATATTTTTCTGTAGTTTAATTTTTTAGGTTGGAGAAAAAAATAAGAAAATTATGATAACGTCAAGAAGTTGCATGATTGGCTTAACTTCAAATGAATCCAAAACTTTTAAATTTGTCAGATGTTATCCACGTGTACGGTTGTTGAAGCTGTTCATAAAATCAGTTGATCACGTAACCTGAGAAATGAAAAGGTGTCTCATCTCCACAAACAAAAACAGTATAGAAAATAACAATTTCCTTTTTAGCTTTTGTATGCATGAAAACAAAATTTGAAAAGCATGTCATAATTGTCGTTCCTCTAGAAAAAGAAGTATAGCCCCCGTTACTTCTTAAACAAGGGAAAAGCCGTTACTTCTTAAACAAGGGAAAAGGCTATTAAATCCTATTTTATAACCTAATCACCTACGCCACACACGCGTACTCCACGCGGAGGAATCATGGTTTTGGATTTCGATGGCATTTTAAACACAAACGTATGCTTTCTAGAAAGCATGAGTACTTGCATATATTTGACTATTGTGATTTTAATTAAGAGTTTTATTGGATAGGCCGACTTATGAGTAGGACTAGTTAATATACTATTTTTAATATAAATTTGATAATTGAAAGTAGTGAATTACTATAGTTTATTTTTTTCAGTCTTATTAGAGAAGTTTTTTTTTTTATTTTGAGAATTTTAAATTTATTATTTTTATTATTAGTAGATATTATTATTTTAACCGTTAAATTAAGATTTTAACACATTAATTTATGTGATTATAATAATTATATGTAGTATGCTGTGAATTTTTATCGAGTAGGCTCATATAATAGACCATAAGATTTTAATCTAACAATTAAAATAACCATATTATTATAAAAGACTGATATTACAGTAGAAACTCTTTATTATTTTATTATCGTCATTTTTTTTTATTGGTGAAAAAGAAGCATAAATCACATTATTCTTCTGGGTATGGATATGGATGTTGTACAAAAATGGATATGTTATTAGATCACCCATAAGTCATGCAACTTGTGACCCTACTTCAAAAGCAAGATTTGCATCATCTTATCTAGTCCTTTGTAAAAATAAACTAAAAGTTAGGTAATTCTTGTTTTTCCCCAATACTCTGCGGAAAAGTGATACGTAACACTAAATTTAGCGTAGATATTTCAAGCTAGAACTAGGTAATATAGAATTAATAAGTCTCCGGGGTGGTTGGATAATGATGGAATTAACAGTTAGTGGGACGAGAAATTAGTGTTTTTACTAATTATTTAAATTTTTTTTTGCTGATTTTTCTTACCAATTTAATTGTGTAAACGTTATAGGACGCTCTTTATTTTTCCCTAAATAACTATAGTATAGCCTATATGTGTCTACTATACAC